TGTGGTGACAGAGGGGCTGTGAGGTGGCTCTTTGGGATCGGGAGACCCGTCTCTCAAGGCACACTGGTGGTGGAGAGGGGACATGGCATGGCTGTGGTGGCACTTGGGGTAAGGAGCCCTGCCCCTTTAAGACGAAGTATGATGACGGAGGGGCTGTGGGGTGGCTTCGGTGACACTTTGGGATCAGGAGACGTGCCCTTAAGGCACAGTGTGGTGACAGAGCGGATGTGGGGTGGGTTTGGTGGCACTTTGGTATCAAAAGCCCCATTTCACAAGGCACACTGGTGGTGGAAAGGGAACATGGGGTGGCTTTGGTGGCACTTGGGGTCAGGAGACTCACCCCTTACAGCACATCGTGGTGACACAGGGGCTGTGGGGTGGCTTTGGTGGCACTTTGGGGTCAGGAGCCCCACTGCTCAAGGCACACTGGTGGTGGGGAGGGCACCCGAGTGAGGAGCCCCATCCGTGTCCCACCGGTGCGAGGCAGGTGGGGGCGCGGGCAGGGCGCTCAGAACCCCCTGGCCTCCAGCCGCAGGGTGACCACGGCGGGCGGCACCTTCTTCTTGAGGCGGTTGAAGTCCTTGGCCGAGCGCCAGAGCCAGGTCTGCAGCTCCTTGAGCAGCCAGAAGTCGTCCATCTTCTTCAGGAAGTCATTGGAGGCCTGGGGGGCCCCGGGGGGCCCGGCGGGGGGCCCGGCGGGGCCGGCGGGCAGCGGGTACCCCAGGGAGGACATGACGCCGCCGATGCTGAGCACCAGCCCCTGGAGGCTGGCGCAGAAGTGGGCGAGGCGGTGGCGCAGCTCGGCCGTGCCCACCTGCCCGTCCAGCACGCGCAGGTAGCACAGCAGGCGGCTGTAGGCGCGGTAGTTGGCGGCCAGGCGGGCGTTGTCCGTCAGCCCCCTCCACAGGTCCAGGTCCACCGTGGCGCTGGGCACCCGCTCGGCACGCGCCAGGCGCGGGGGGTTGAAGTCGGGCTCATTGAAGGGGGGCCCCAGGTAGTTCAGCTGGAAGGGAACGGGGGGTGTCGGGCGTCGGGGGTGATGTGGCGCTGGGGCCGTCCCCCTCGTCCTGTCTCCGTGCACTCCCGCCTGCCATGTCCCAAGTCCCCGTGGTCACCATGTTCCAGATGCCCACACCCCGCAGGTGCACACACCCAGCGTGGCCCAGGTCTCCGTGTCCCCCCCATCCCAGGTTTCACTATGCCCCAGGCAGACACGCCCAACTGTGCCCCTTTCCCTTTCATGGCCTTGGTCTCCATGGTCACCCTGTCCCCAGCCTCCATGTGCCCCAGGTCCCCATGATCACCAGGTTGCAAGTCTCCATGTCCCCCAGGGGGATGTGCCCACCCCATTCCCAATCTCCATGTCCACTTTTTCCCAGGCCTCC